AGAGAGAGACTCACTCACTCACTCTGTTTCTTTCTTTGATTCCTGTCAGCGCATCAGTTCGTGTTCAACTAAACAGGCACGTTTGGTTGGGTTAGGAAAACGTTAGTTAACAATGGTAGATATCGGTGGTTTTCAGGGTGGGAGGTGCATCCTCTAGGAGGCGCCATTCCACATTGAGGGACGTATGAGATGAGGGGAAAAGAAGGGCTCCATAGTTGTGCTTTTGGTGGGTCTGCCCCACAGGACCCTGCTCCCCACATTTAGAGGCACTGCTTCAGCTGACGGATAAGTTTAGCTTGTTAGCTCAGATGTCTATATTTTTTTTTTCCCCCCTTTTTCGAATCATTTTTGGAATGTTTTTCAGACAGCGTTGCCATGCCGACAGCAGATCCCTGATCTGTCAGCGTACCCGTCTGGGCCCCGCACCAACATGTCCCCTTTGTGTCACACAAACTTTGGTGTGAGCTCGGACAAACACAAGGAAGACACACTGTCAAATCCTCAGTGACCGATGCTGAAACTCCACTGGTCAAACTGTCAGACACCGACTGCTGACAGCGGGGCTTTCTGACTGACCACTGGGGTGAGTGGAAAAAAACATAGAAACAACGTAGAAAGAACCGGACAGAGGAGGAAAAGATGAAACCGGAGAGGAACCAAAGAGCTTGGTGTGAGAATACCAGAATCAGTGAGTGTCTGAGCAGCGTCTGAAGGGAATGGTTTTTGGGGGTTTTTTTCAGCTCCACCTCTGCCTCGGGTTTGTTAAAGAAGTAACATAAGAGCAGAAATATAATTACACTTGTGCGCCCCCTATTTCCATCAGTCAGAGTTATGGCTACTGCATCAGTATGTACATAGTTTTTCCCAGTTTCCTGAGCGTTCGTGGATCGGTACCACCATCACCGCCTGGTGTCCAAACGTCGACCTCCACTGTCTCCTGCTCTGCCTCTCTCTGTCTTCCTAACACATCCGTCGTCTGAGAAACCGACGACAGAAACATTCGTATCGCAGCTGTTTTTTCTTCTTTTTTAAATCATAACGACGAGTGGAAGAACCAAAATAGCCTCAAAAGTTTACAATGCCTTCACATCTTACAAAGTCAGTATGTGGTATGTAAACCACGGAGTACAGCTGTGTACTGACTGGTACTCGGTGCTTCATGACAATGGACCAACTGGAGCGCAGCACATTTGCAGGTCGGTCAGTGGAGCGTGGCGTCGGGAACTGCCGACAGACACACGGCTGGAACTCATGATCAACTCTGTCACTTTTTCCATCAGAAATCTTCCGGCCCAACAGGTTCCGTCGATGACCGTTCCTCCCGTTCCTTCTTTCCTCCAGTAAATCTAACAGCGTGGCCTTTGTTTTGGTTGAGGACTCGCTGAAACGACTATTTAGGGACAGAACGGTTTATGTTTACAGCGACTGTTTATGCTCCGCGACTATTTTTGACGATAAAGGCCCAGAAAGAGAGAAGGGGGTGAGGAGGGTGAGGCAGATGTTGTTCAGCCCATAGTTTAGAGAAATCTCAGTGTTTACATATCTGAGTCTTCAGCCTGTCATTAGTTTGACTTCAGTCATAACAGCTACTTCAAACCTCAAATAATTTTCTCACTAAATGTCATGAAACGACGTTAACATCCTGTAGAGTCCCTTACAAAGTAAAAGTCTAAAAAAGATGTTTTATTTTGAAACTTTAACGATCCTTCAACGATGCTGCGAGATCAGTCACAGCTGATACCGTCGGTACAGAAAAAAGGTCAAGGACGGCTGCTTCAAATCCTTTAAAGTACCATGAGAACGGACTGTACACACACACACACACACACACACACCAGTGTGTCGTCACTGCAGCCTCTGGTTCTGTTAATATATTCCGTGAGCCGTCACAGGGATTTCACTTTTAAATTTCAAAGTGCTTCAAGTGTGTGTGTGTGTGTGTGCTGACATATGGACCACCACCCACTGTTGACGATGATTACCATATGTTGTGACTCAGTGGGAGTGGGTCACCATTAAATGACTGTTTTTTAATTTATTTATTTACTTATTTTACTTGTTTTGTTTTCACAACATTTAATGAAATGAACTTGATATTTATTTTTTAACTTTCACTTTAAAATCTAACGCACACACCTGACTGAGCTGTTGAAGTTGGCTGTGACTGAAGAGCAAACAAACCGAGACAAAGGCACCTGTTAGCCTACTGCACTAACATGTAAACACCACCAGGGGTGTTTTGAACAAATACATCACGACAACAACTACACCTGGAGGAATTGAACTAAAAACGTAAAGTCACACGTCTGTAGTCCGACGCTGCCGTTAAGCTACGCTCGTTGTACAAACGTGACACTGAGATCATCACATGACACGAAGGCCAAGCTGCAGCCCAGCAAACCTGGTCACTGTTGTTTATTCTGGATCGATTCAATAAACTGAGAATAGTTTTGTTTTGTTTTGTTTTGGTTTTCTTTAAGCCTCAGGTCGACTCTTCCCTCCTACGCCTGGGACGAGTGATTCATTCCAACGACCGCAGCCTCGGCCGCTGGGACTCTGTTTCCTCTCACCACAGCACCAACAAACCCTCTCACCTCTAATGGAGTCAAACGTCTGCAATTACCACCCATACACAGCCAACACCGGGGCAACCAGGGTATCTGGAGTACAAAAGACGAAGTAATACTCCCTGAACATCAGCAGTAAACTGCAGATGATCGAGTATTCAGTCGACACGGAGGTCTGACTGACCACCAGGAGACAGTGGTGAGACCATGAAGATGAATGAGGAACAAGACTGAAAAAACTCGTCCACCTCGTTAGCCTGTTATGTTAACGTATTTAGCCGCGGCGTCGTTCTTTTTTTAATAAATCTCTAATAAATACAACTTGTAGATCGATGTTTCCCACTGATGGTCAAGAGTCTGCTTTGACCAGTAGGTGGCGTAGAAAGGCCTAGTCCACTCAGCATGGCCTCCTCACAGACAACAGAGTGCAGTACCATGTTTTCAACACTCATTCACTACGTAACGTGAAGAGGGCGCTGTTTCAAACATTATAAAACTCTAAAAGACAGAATGAAGGAGACTGTTTTTACTGAATGACAGTTATAGTCAATTTCCTTTGGCCTCCACAAGGGGGCGCCAACTCCCCTCCCTCTCCACCACAGTCTCATCATATCCTGTAGGAAACACTGTAACAAGGATTGTTTTGTTTCCACCACTTTCTTCTAGAACACCACTGTTCTAGAAGAACTGCTTGATGGGAAATGTCAATTAAAAAGACGGAAATATTTCTAAATGGAAGACGTTTGATTTAGGAGACAGGAAAGAAAGGGCAAGTGAGGAGAGAGGGTGAGAACTTTAGAAGAATCTTGGAGAAAGTTTCTATTTCCAGCCTCCCACAGCGGCTCAGCGCCGTTCATCACGTCTGTTCAAACCTCTGAAAGGCAAGTCCCGGGTCAACACTGAGGAAAACACCGGATGAATTAATGCAACAGTTTAGAAAAGCCAGGGCTTTCAGCGGTTCTTTCACACATACACAAACACGAACCCTGGAGAGCGAGCGCCGAGTTTTTAAATTAAAATCTGTAAACCCTTCTGTCGATCTGCAGCCACTGAACTCCTGTTGTGACAAACTGCTTTTTTTTTTCTTCTTCTTCTGCATTTTTCTGTTGAATTTGGTGTAGGTTTCATGCTAAAACAGAGTGAGGGTTTGTGGGGGGGCGGGGGGGACAGGGTGAGGGGTGTGCGACTTTGCCTCACCTTGTCTCTAAGATGATGTTCTGCTGCATCAATGTTCAACGGGTCATCAAAGTTCAGTAGGTCCTGCAGCAGAGACGGACAGAACAAAGATCTTAGAATTAATCTGAGCTGGAATTAACATTGTGAACTTGTGGGGCGCGGGGCTGAATCTGGCTCACCCAAACACCCAATCCGGCCCACGACTGGATTTAGAAATAAACATCAAATAATGATGTTGGACGAAAATGTGATTTTTATTTCATTTTATTTTGGGTGCCCCCAGGTGTCCAGGACAATCTGACTAACTCATTGGTGACCCCTGGTGTAGACGGTATGCTACACATTAGCTAGTTAAGCAGAAAGAAAGAAAACCTCTGGAGGAGATTTTCTTGCTTCAAGTCCGACGGCTGCCGTTATCTTTGGAGACAGATCCGACCACAGGCTAATCTGTTTTTAAGAGATGAATTTGTATCTGAAGGCTTATTTTTTCACTGAAAAAAAAAGTTGTTTTTAAAAGACTCTGACAGAAAGATCTTACACGATTAACTGTGTTTATCTGTCAGACCCCCCCCAGGCCCCCCCCCCCCCCCCCAAAAAAACCCCTTATAATTTTTTAAATTTTTTTTTTTTTTGTAAAAGTTTTGTTTCTCTCTTTCTCGGCGATTAAAACGTTCAGATCTAGGTCACTGCTGTTGGGCAGAACAAAGTGTTTCTCACAATTAGATGGATTTTTTTTCTTCTTCTTCTTCTTTCTTTTTTTCCCCAAAGACAAAACGTAAGGTTTGGCTCGGGGTTTTAACGAGATGCCCACTGGCTACAGCTAATCTGATCAGAGTCAGGACCGATGTCACGGAGTGAGACCTAAATATAATCAGCTGCTTCAAAGGAGAACACTGCAGTGGTACGACGCGCTACAGAGGACGTGGAGTTAAAGATGAACTTTACATACATACATACATACATATATAAGAAAAAATGACTGAAATAGACATGAAAACTTACCGTGAATAATGAGTTCAGTCCCCAGACCACGTCCTAGAAATAGATGAGAAAGAAACGTGACTGATTCTACATGAAACTCTTTTACTCACACTGACATCGACACAATCTCAGAGTGAGGAAAAAAAAAAAACGCATTTAAAAATCATCTCTCTGTGAAATGTATTTGTCCAAACTGAGGCCACTCTGTCAAATACACATTTTTTGATTGTCTGTCTTGGATTAACTGGATCTTTCAGGTTCTGGAGAATTCTCAAAACTGAAACCCTTCTGTATTTGTGCGCTCATTATGCCCTCATTTAAATATCCTGCTGTTTGGCCTCCGGATGAACGGCTAATTAAAGGTGCAACATTTTTGCAGAGAAAGTGTAATTAATTCAGTCCCACTGTATCTGGGCTTTTAGACGGTGTTTAGATCCTCACGTCTGCAGCTCTCTGTGGTGGGAGACTCTTCAACTTAAATGATTTCATTATAAAGAGAGAAAAAAAACATCACATTATGAACAGGACGGTAATAAAGAACGACGATAACGATGACACCTGCACTAATGAGAGAAAAAAATCTGAATTCACAACATTTAATACATGAATATTAAAGTTTAATAAATTTAAATTTATCCGATTTCCCTCCGTGTTTGAGAAAGGGACCTCTACTGGCAGTAACCTGCAATAACGTCAACTGTAGGAGCCAAATGTCTTTATTTACAGTAGTAAAATAATAAGATCAAAAAGGAGGTTCAGATCAGATCTGACTTCATCAGAAGAACCGTCTACTTGACCCCTTTATCAGAGGTCACCACAGTGGGCGATGTGATTTGTCAGTTTGAACACCACATGCCCTTCCTGACAGATCCTAATCTGGACTTGAAGACCAGATGGAACCCCCCCATGGAACCCTCCCCTCCCCCCCATGTCCTTCCACTGAACCACTGGTCGGCACTTTAAATCATTTTCTTTTTCATAATTCCATTCAAACTCCATTTATTCACTGCACACAAGTGGTATTCAGACTTGGTCATTGTTTTGTACAGAATTTCCTGTGAAGAAGGAACAATAGAATGTTGACACATCCTTTTTAACCAGCTGACAGTTTTCTTTGGTTTGAAGAGAAGCGCTCACTTCTTCCGGCAGATTTTTCTTTTCTTTTTTTTAAGTTCTGGTTTTTGCACTGAAATCCTCAGACTTTGTTTGAATCTCGCTGCGTTCTTCCAGTTAGTGCTGATCTCAGAGCTGGTTTGAAGTTCACCCCACAGCATGGTAAATACTGAATGATTCTTAACGCCTGGTGATATTTAATTCATGTTCACAATGAGCTTTGGGTTTAAAATATTAACGGGGAAGAGAAGAGGAAACCAGTGGTAAAAGGTCAGTTCTCCGTGGAGGGCGTGTGATTCACGGTCACAACAACGTCGAAAAAACAAATCGTCTGTTTCTACTCAAATGTATTATGCATATATATGTATGTATGTGTGTGCATATATATGCTAAGTTTTTTGAATTTTGAACCTGGTGTGACTGGGATTTAATCCTCAAAGTTAATCTCCACTCGTTTGTTAATTTTACAAAATTTAAAGTTTACGGTGAGATTAATGTACGTTGGATCTGGATTATTGGATTATCATCAGAGCAGTGTTTTACCTCCCAAACTGCACAAACTACCACAGAGTTAAAGACGTCTCAACGTACGTTGGATCTGGATTATTGGATTATTTCTGTTCTAACTCTGTAGAAACTCAGTGAAGCTCTGACTGTGAAGCTGGAGGAGAAACCCAGAGACAGTGACATCAGTCACCTGTCAGTGAGTGCAGTGACTGTGACTGATGGAAGTGAAGACAAATTAAATGCCGTCGTCCAAACAGAAACCAATTATGTCGCCGCCTGTTTCTGCTCTTTGTAAAAAAGAAGAGACCTGACAGACCACGCCACGGAACGTCCACGCCACGGAACGTCCACGACACAGAATGTCCAGGCCACGGAATGTCCAGGCCACAGAACGTCCACGCCACGGAACGTCCACGACACAGAACGTCCACGACAGTTTTTAAAGACCGTGATGTCGACTATGAAACACTGATGTTGAAGCATTGAAGTGACGTTAATGACGTTATAATGAAACACTGACTTCCTGTCTGGACAGATTTGATTTTATTGTAGTATTTGATAGACGGCTCCTCCTACAGGAAGGTCCAGACACGTGCTAATTTATTCAGCCACCATGATGACGGGGAGAGAAGAGCAGCTGCTGCCGTCGGACTGACCTGACAAACGGATCAGTTCTTTGAAACGCGTCAGGACGGAGGAGACGAGACACCGAGGGGGGGACGAGACACCGAGGGGGAGACGAGACACCGAGGGGGAGACGAGACAACGAGGGGGAGGCGAGACACCGAGGGGGAGCTGGGGCACCTCTTCTCTAATCCCCCGTGGCAACTGCATGTCTTTTGCATAAATCCATAATAACTGGAGCATTACAGGACCGTGGTTCAGGGAGACGTCCAGCTGGACTCAAAAAAAACACCACCCATTAGGGCTTGCCTATTCAAACAGAAGGCTCGCGGGCCACGTGCGGCCCAAACACCGCCTCAGAGTGGCCCAGTCTTGGAATTTGTTATTGGATAAAAATGTCGTAACAGAAAATGTTCTCCTGATAAAAACGACTTATTTTTATGAACAAATGAAGACGTGAACACACGACTAGTCGACTGTACTAGAGGTGAACACACGACTAGTCGACTGTACTAACTAATGACTAAGTTAATGGACGCTCTTTTACCTTTAATGTCCTAGTGGGAGCCCAGCCCGTGCCATCGATCGAATGCTCCCGCAATAAACTGCAAAAAAGAAATTGCAGGTGAAGTTAAGACGTCATCATCAGAATCCGTTTTGACAAACTTCATGGATACTTTGTCTGAGTGAAGACGGTACGTCAACACCTAGAAGACGTTTACGTGTTGTGATGCGTGGACCAATAAAATAAAGGCCCGTTACCTCAAACAAATCTCTCCGTTCTCCGTGATGTTTGGATGCCATATTCTGGTCAAACATCGCACTTTAGGAGGCTGAAAGGAAAAAGAAAGAAAAAAAAGTAATTAACAACAAAGCCTGATGAAGTTGAGGGGAGAGAGAGGTGAAAAGGTCAAAGTGAAATAACTGCAGCGGTCCCTCACCACCATGTTGTAGGCTTCAGGGACGTCTATCTCAAACTGGAAGCGTCCACTCTGGTAGTAACCCTCGTCTGGAGAAACAAACCAAGACAGAACACGGTGTTTCATTCAGACGTGTTTATAAAAACAGGTTTCCACCGTGACTGTAGGGGGCGACTGTGGTCTCACTCTGATTGATTTGATTTCTAAGTCACAGTGAACTCTTCCAGAGAAGACGACCTTGAACATCTGACACATCGTCGTTACTCACTGTCCCTTAAACCTCAGGTCTCTGTCAAAGCCCTGACGCAGTAAAGCAGTAAAGTACTGTATATACTACACTGCAGTACTACAGTACAAATACCTTTTACACTACACGTAACTACTGCAGTACTACAGTACAAATACCTTTTTGGCTACTGACCACACTTTACCTTTGATTTGATTGATATCCATGAAAGTAAAAGAATTGAATTATTCAAGATTTTTTTTTCACCTTTACTGGACATTTCAGGCGACCCCACCAGGGGTCCCGACCCCAAGCTTGAAAAACACTGGTCTAGTCTTAATCTTTGCACAAATTCTAATCTAGTTCTAAACTGTGTTCTCTGTGTTGACACTGCAGTACCTCTGACACTGTACTGAATCAGTTCACAGTAGCAGAGAAAACGTCCATGAACTCCACAGACCTCGTGGCCCGACGACGACTCCACTCTTTTAATGGTCGCACAGTGAAGTGGTCTGTGTAAACATAGACTCGTGCTTCAAAGACGGAGTCTCTAATTGGACGGACGACGGTTTGAGTCGTGCTGTGACCCCGGTGTGTGGACGTGGACCGGTCCAGCAGGTCAGGGACAGACAGACAGACGGGGGAACGACCCGGTACTCTGTCGTCTAATGATTTTCCGGTTGGTTCCGTTGTGGTTCTCTGATGTAGAGTGAAGTGAAGAAACTGCTGAAGAGGGATCGGTCATCGATTCAACAAACTAACCAGTGAAATCAGTGAAAGCTGTTTACCAGTCTTTGTTATCGACTCAAACCCTAAATAAATAAATAAAACATCGTAGAGTCATTCCCTTTTCTCACTGTAGGTGGAGCTACTCCATCCATTCCTAGTTAAGATGGATCAGATTAGATTTTCTCCCTACCTTTTTTGCAACTCTGCTAAACTGTACCACAC